TAAGAAAGCTTTATAATATTTATCAAGCAGATCCTGAAAGGAAATAGGAATGAGAATAATAATACAATAGAAATGAAACTTATAATAAATACCAGATCATCTAGCATTACAGGTTCTTGGTGATGAGTGTTCCAATTAACAGCAGCAACCTGTAAGCATTGGAATACAATTACATGTATTATGTATAGTGGGTATGTGTATTAAAAACTCATAGTAAGTATTGTATCAATAATCCTCTTTATACCTCTCCATATCTGTCCAATTGGACATGTGGGCGTGATATACTCATATCAGATGGGGTCTCAACATCATTCCTAAAATAAATAAAATTAATAAGAGTACTAAAATATAACAGCAATTCATCAAAAATGCTAACTACAAATATATAATTTATTTTTGTACTGTAAAGGCTCACTTCATATAATGTCGTCTCTGAAATGAAACTGGTACTTTAGTGAGGACCTCAAAATACTGAGGGGCCTCTTGTCTGAGCTCTTCCAGGACTGGATAGAAATCAAGAAATATATTCTCACCTCCCACAACACAAGAATCCCTTCTATAGAAAGAGAAAAAAAACAAGATTATAATTATATGCTTCATTGTCTATTATTGGTATACATCCTCAAATAAAAGCTCTTTTTTAAATAGAAGCCTGAAGAGTACATGTATTAAAGAAATATAAGCCTGTATAAAGTATAGGAGATTACTCTAATAGAAGCATTAAAGATTCCTGGGCTACTATTGAAGGATTTATAATACTTAAATATCTGCATTATTAAAAGTATCTGTGACCTAGCAGGTGAAAATGGTCCAGTTGGCAATATGAGACCACAAACATGTAATAGTGACTTTGTATCAAAACTTTGGTATACACTTACTATCAAAACAAAAAAACCATGATAATGATTGATTTTATGTGTTTAAGGCTGCTTATCTTAATGGCAACCAATGCTAAATTTTTGCCTGCTTTGTCAAATTTAATGTATTTTTGGTAGCATACTGTACCTACCTAACGCAGTGGAACAATTCAATGCCTGGTGGTGACTCATAGTACAATAAGTCTTGATGGAAGTGTAGGTTGGATGTACTGAAACCAAGATCAGTTGGATCATCCTTGGCATACAAGAGTGGATACTAATAGGACAAAAATAATGTTCTTTAAAAATGACTCATTCATGAGGATTGTTTTATTGGAAAAATGACAAACAAGTAAACTTGATAATGTCTTACATTTCCATAAGTTGTAGGCTGTACATGTGGAAACTTTCCGACCAGCTAAAAAGTTAAACCACCATTAAAACTATTTATTGTGAGTAGAGACATTGTACTGTACCTTTTCTAATACATCATAAGTTTCTGGTTATTGCCGCCCGCCTTAGCCTTATTATTAGGTTCGGCCTTTGTAGAACAAGGGGCGGGGACGGGGTGAACAGTATATCCACCACTGGCAAGCATACAAACACCATAATTAGCATAGGAAATAACCCCAGCAACGCCAGGCCCCCCACTAACATACTAAAAGCAAATCCCGATATAATAGAAAATAACAAATGGCCTGCTATTAAATTAGCAGCCAACCGCACTCCTAATGATATTGCCCGAGATACATAACTTATCGCCTCCACTACTATAGCGTATACCATCCCTAAGTAACCGAAAATTTGTTCTTTAGCTGCGTACACTGGTATGATCTGGGAAATCATCCCAAATCCTGGTAGTATTAATATATATACAGTAGTTATTGGAGCATTGTCAATGAGACAAATACCAAAATAATTGAGGTTTCTTATCCATCTATAAAAAATCAACATGAGAATGACACATAATATTATTATTATTAATGGATGCCTGGTGCATCATGCAATTTCAAACACATTATAGCTAATTTTGAAGTCCTCTTAATAAACAATTATTATGTAGGTATGAACAAAATGAGTGGTATGAATTGGACTGACTCGTATAATGACATGAAAAAGAAATTCTGGCCAGTATATAAAGTAATAATAATAAGTACACCACATATTTTATAATACTAAATTTGTCATTTTGATAATTTTTATAGACCGAGTTAATAGTGTGGCCAGCTGCACAGGTGAGGAATGTGCATACTGTACAAGATGATTTATTGGCGAAGAATTAATATTGGTGATTGGTGGTTCTATGAAGGAATCGCTAATATAATATCTGCCATTTTGTTTCAAACTGAGAATGCTCAATTGCATGTGGCATAAAATTGTCAATATAAAATTTGCCATTAGCTTTCCAGAGGCAAATGCGCCAAATATTAACTATTTACTGTTTTGACATTTTCTACAAAATGCCACCAATTTTATTTCATGTACTCAGTGATGTAAAATGTTTATAAGTTAGATTTATGAGTATTGAAAGTATGTCATGTCTGCATATACTTTAGTACAGCCTTGAGCTAGGTTTACATTCAATAGAACGATCAAAATTGCTTAGGCAGTGATGCAAAAATGCTTTGAAGTTGATGCAAAATTGGCCAAATTTTAATCTTACACTCATCTATGTTGTGTTTTATGGTGAGTGTAAACCAGGCTTTAAACCTATAATTGTATTATTACTATTTTGCTCTATTTCTTAGGTTTTAAACTTCTTCTTTGTACCTCCGGCTTTAAGAGTGACCTACATCAGTGCAGTGTATCTAGGATGGGTCATGTATTTATCTTATTATCAACACAAGAAATCTTAAATTAATAATAGTTGTTAAAAAATTTTATTAATATGATTTATGTACATTGCAGATTTACCATTTGTTCTGATCAATTATTACATGTTTATTGCCTTATGAAATTATTTTGTCATTATACTACAAATGCATAGCAGCAGTGCTGTTATTATTTGGCACAAAAACTACGGAAGGCATCACGTGATGATTAATAAGCAAGCAAAGCAGAACGAGAATGGACGAATCAATGGGGGAAGATAAAGCTGGACTTATAATATCTAAAGGTAAAGGTGATATCAAATTATAATGTATAATAAAAACCTTTTCATCTTAAGATAATTATAAGTCGAAAGGAAAAGATAAACATTTGGCATGCTTTATCTTCGTTGTGCTGACTGCCGTGGCTGTTATTTTTGTCGCAGGCATAAGTGTCATTCCGTTTGTCGTGGCGCATAATGAGGATTCTGAATTGTATTTACTTGAAATTGGTGATATATTAGGTAACAGCTCTTCATTTATAATAGTTAACTCATCATACACAAGATCATCATCAATAACATTTTCCTCAAATGAACAAGGTCAACACCAGCCGTACACTGTCATCCTCTTATCAGAGAATATAGTACCATCAACTATCGTGGATTATCTTCCTTTAGAACGATTCCCCTTGCTTTCAGAGGCTGAATCTGAGTACAGAGGGGCTTTTAACTATCTTCGAAGTGATGAGCCTATCTATTTGCTCTCTGGGTCTTCAATTATGTATAACTTAACAATAAGTTGGAATACTAGTACATATCCAGTTTGCCTTTATCTTTTTACAAATGAAACACATTATAGCACTTTTTTGATGTCAGTAGGTAGCAGCAATGAATACCAGTATAACAACTCACATTGCTTTACTTTTCATATGTCATCATCAAATACAAAAAAACCCACAACAGCATCAGATTCTTTTTCTTTTAATATCACAAGTGCTGGGCAGTACTACGTTGGTATACAATTACAGAGTGGTGTTACTGTACAAGCCAATGCTTCTGTTTTACGAGTATATTATAATACTACTGGACTTCAACAGCAAACCGCTTGTAATGGTATAACTTCCTGTTCAATTAATGTATGCAGTACCTTTATATGCAGTCATGAGGCAATCACTTCTTTTCTTATCAAACCATCCAAT